TGCGGCGTTGGTGAGTGACATTCGGGAACTGAAGAAGGACCGTAGGAAGAATGCGGATGCGATTGAGGGGATCGTACGTGCGATGAACGGGCGCGCCGACGCGTTGGCGGCAGCGCAGCTGGACCGTGGCTTCTTGGACCCCGAACCGGCAGGCGTACCTCTGGAGATTCTGTCGCTTGACGCGGATGACGCATTCCACGCGGCGGAGACCGAGCGTGCGCGACTTAAGTTGAGCGACCCCCGGCGCAACGCGGGGAAAATTAAAGAGCTCGAAGACGACATGAACGCTCGGGCGCACGTGCTTGCAGGTGAGCTCAAGGAGAAGGAGCGAGAAATATTTCTCGACCCGCAACCGGGGGGTGTGCCGGTGTCTGAGCTGCCGCTGGATTCGGACGAGTCTTTCCACACGATGGAGGTGGAGCGCCTGCGTCTTCGCAACGAAGATCCGCGCGGCAATGCGGCAAAAATCAAGGACCTGGAGGGTCAGCTGAACGAGCGTGCGTTGGATGTTGCCCGCGCGGTGAAGGAGGAGGACCTTGAGGCCCTGGAGTCGGCCCCACGCGGAATTCCGCTGGCGCTTTTGCGTCCACACGACGATGAGGCGTTTGCGTCCCTGGCGAAGGAGGCGCGTGGTGCCGGGAGGAAGTCCGGGGGTCCGTCGCCACACGCTGCCGCCGACGCACTGAACGAGCGGGCGCGGGAGCTTGCTGATCAGGTCCTGAGGGGTGACCGCGGCTTCCTTGACCGCGAGCCCGAGGGGGTGCCTCTGAGCATGCTGCCGTTGGACACGGACCGCGGGTTCCACGAGATGGAGGTTGAGCGTGCGGTGCTGAAGCTGACTGACCCGAAGAAGAACGCCGACAAGATCGCCGCCCTCGAGGACCGCCTCACCGACCGCGCACACGAGCTTGCGCATGAGCGCCTGAGCGGGGACCGCGGCTTCCTCAACCCCGGGCCGGAGGGCGTTCCGTTGGAGATCCTCCCGCTTGACGAGGACCCCAAGTTCCACCAGATGGAGGCGGAGCGTGCGAAGCTGAAGGCGCAGGACCCTCGGCGCAACGAACGCAAGGTGGCCGACCTGGAAAACGCAATGAACGACCGTTGTCACGAGCTTGCCTGCGATCAACTGCGTGAGGACTTGGCTGGTGTGGACAAGGAGCCCCGTGACATCCCTCTCGAACTGCTGCACCCTCACGGTGATCCGGCCTTTGCGGCGTTGGTGAGTGACATTCGGGAACTGAAGAAGGACCGTAGGAAGAATGCGGATGCGATTGAGGGGATCGTACGTGCGATGAACGGGCGCGCCGACGCGTTGGCGGCAGCGCAGCTGGACCGTGGCTTCTTGGACCCCGAACCGGCAGGCGTACCTCTGGAGATTCTGTCGCTTGACGCGGATGACGCATTCCACGCGGCGGA